ATATAGACAGAAGAGAAGCTCTCCTCACCATCACCTCACCCTGCTATGCAGGTATTCCATCAGTTCAAATAATTTTTTCTTACCTGAGAGCTGCTGTAGCTCATGGCAGCTGTGGGCAGCCATCAGGGGATCACAAAGCAGCTTAAAGGCAGTCTGGCAAAAGAAAGCCATAGATAAGCTCTCAACTCTCCAAATAAATATACATTTTTTTATTATTCATTGCACCCAGATTATACTGAACATATCTAAATGCTAAGACTAAGATTACTGTGCCCCAAAGCAGTAAGTAAAAACATGTTATGGGACACTGTGAGTTTGTCCTGCTCCTGCAAAGGCAGCCAGGACAGGGATCACTCACCACTGTCAGAGCACATGGGCTCATCTGCCCTCTTTCAGAAACATATTCACCATCTTTCCTTGAGTCTAAAAAGTTCTACACATCCACAGCATTTGGGTAAACTAAACCAATGAGAGCTGGGTTTCAGTAAGGATCAATACTGGTCAGGCCCTTGTGGGTGGCTGTCTCTGCTGCACGGGACTTCCTGTTGGAACTGGCTGTGTCAAAATATTTTGATCAGCCCTCTCCCTAAAATTAAATCCTTCCTTGCATTCCAGCAATGAAAAGTGTTTTACAGCAGGTGTTAAGATAATGCAAACCTTAGTTTAAATGGGACTCAGACCTGGAGTGTGTGTATCGAAGACTATTTGAATTACATTTCAGCACTGTTTATGGGTTCTCAGGAGTTGCAGAGCCTGTTAAAAATGAAATAAAGCTTATGGAAAGGGGCTTATGTTTTCTGCTGTGCTGAAAAAGAAATAAAGAGGAAAACATATTTGTGCCTGTTCAAAGGCTGCCCAAGGACAGCTTTCATTCTTTGTGACCCAGTTACATTAAATGCTTTCACAGGAACTCCTTAGATACTTATTTAAAAAAAAAAAAAAAAGTAAAAAGGAAAACACAGATCAGTGCTTCTGATCTTCACTCTGAGGACACATCCAGGCTTGGAGCCATTGACAGCTATCTTGCATCCCTTGTTACCTGTACAAAAATTAAACAAAGCAAGAGATGAGCAGCACTGGGTGAAAAATTAACTGTGTCCATGGAACTATTAAATGCCACAGTTTAAGATCATTTTGTTTTAAGAAAAAGTGCAATTAGTCATAACTTTGGCCGGGACAAGCTGACCTATTGCTCTTACCCTCTTTCTCTGGTATTTTTCCCCAGCCTTTTAGCACGATGTGAGTCCTTTGAATATTTTGTCTGGTATGACCAGATCTCCCCAGTGCAGCTGAAAGTTTTCACTGGCTTTTGACAGAAGGTAGGAAATTCTGCATTGTACATACAGTGATGGTGTTGCTTGTCAGACAGGAGCCCAATTCCTTCTGAAACTGATGGGCTTCAGTGTACCCTGTGGCTTGAATCCTGACCATGAGGATACAGGAACTGATCCCTTTGCAGATATTGTTGATAAATGAAATGTGTTGTAGACTTTGTTACATCCTACCTAAACCCCAAATTAGTCTGTGCTTTGAGTGACAAAAAGCAAAGCTTTTTCTGCTACTTCTTGGTATTGCATCTGACTAATGGTGTTTGGTGCTATTTGAGGAACTTGAAGCTGGAAGGATTTCTTGGGAGTTGTGGTCTATCCCTTTCTATGTGCCAGGGCTTCTGGGAGTGAAAGAGAGTACACAGAGCTCCAGAGAGCACTGGGCAGCAGTACTGCATGTACACAGTGACAGAAAAAGCCTTCTGTGGAAGCGTGAAGTTCTTTTGGACATCTTCAGTCAGTGACTGAAGTAGTTGGAAATATCTTCTTTTTGGTGGTGTTGCTTTCTAATGAAGGAGAAAATACGAACTAATGAAGTCTGTTGTAGTTGCTTGCTGTGATTTAAAGAAGTTGAGACATTTACTATACACTATACCAATTCCCCTGACACTGTGCCCAATTAGATTTGCCAAAATCAAAAAGATTTTTAAAAAATCAATGTTTTCTTGATACACTGGATTCTTCTGTTTTTCCATCATATGAATATTGAGTCATTGATATTTTATGTGTCACACAGAGTGGTTGAGATATCAGAGAAAACGAATGATTTGCATAAGCATCCCAGGGGCATTTTTGGCTTCCCGGCATGCAGAAGCTTTAGCCTGTTGTCTTTACACAGAGTCTGCTGTAATGCTGCATGCCAGAGATGATAATTCACTTTGTGAAACATGATCAGAAGAACCTTTATGGAGGTGTGACAGATGCAGCTGTAGCCGTCACTTGAAGCTCTTTTCCATAACCTTAAAAATACGTCTCCTTCTGATTTTCGTTCTTGATGACTTTTTTAGGTATTGTTGAGTTGCAGCTGTCATGGGAAATGAAATTCCTAAGAGAGCAAGGAAATAAAAAGGTTAAAGTGCCCCCAGCCACAGTTTCAGGACTTAATTGGACACTAGCTGCTCGACTATGAGCATTCCCCCAAAGAATGGTGGAGTCATCGCAGGCTTCAAACAATGGAGATGCGTGGGTTGATGCCATCTGCAGCCTAGGGCTGGTGGAACAAAAAGATGTTTGAAGAAGAGGGAAATTCTCAGAGATATGGTAGAATGGGGCTGATCTGAGAGTAATCAATCATTAGGGTGACATAAATCACAGCACACAAGAGCCCGCAGCCAGGAGATGTCAAACACCGCCCGCAGCGCATCAGTCTCTCCGGCATCGTCACTTTTGTGTGTGGTGCCACTGCTCTTTTGCGGGCCATCAGTTCTGTGGGGCGATGAAACCCAGGAATGCCGGGCTGGCCCTTGCTGGCTAATGCAGCTTTATGATTGCGCACGCTAACGTGCGCTTGGGGCGCGTTCATGCCGTGACCCGAGCCCGCGGTCGATTGTGAGCTGGGTGCCAAACCTGCCAGATGTTGCCCGGTCTCATAATTACGTTAGCTCTGTTGCTCCAGTGCAGCAGCACCAAAACAATACCAGCCAATCTGGGGCACAAAGAGAGGCTGCAGCTCTCATGTGGTCATCTGGGCCACGCTTGACATTTTTGCCTAAAGCTCTCAGATGTTAAACTTAATTTCTCTTCCTTGATTATAAGCAAAATGATCTGTGCGCAATATTAAAAAAACATTTATCAGCTGGAAAGCAGCAAAAGGCATGGCATAAACTCATATAAATGTTAATGAAAGGCAGACAAAATTGAGCAATAGTATTGTATTCTTTAAGATTTTATACACTATTTTACTTGAGAGACTCTAAGAGAGGAGGTCAGGACAGGATTGAAGGATAAGCAAAAATAATATTGTTTGAAATTTACACCAACTCTTCTTATTGTTTAAAACATAAATTTTTAAGTTGTTTAAGTCCTGTTAAATAGGAAATCCTGTTAAATGGAACAAGCATAATCCTCCTTTAACTTATTCTGATATTGATAATCAGATCAATCTAAATCATAAATTCCATTATTTCAATAGAAAGGCTTCATCTTTCTACTGTTGCCCATAAAAAAACTCATGAGTTTTTGGCTTCCTATCTCCTTCCAAGAAACTGTAAAAAGTGGTAAAACAAAGACTGTGGTGGTTGTCTGATGAGGTCTATTCCTCTGAGTCAGGGCGATGCTATTTGGATGGTCTACAGGGTAGTCTGAACACAAGGCTCCAGGTCCCAATACAAAAATAATTGAATGCGTAGGACTCAAATTACCCTTCCCTTTGTCATATTGATATTTAATTTGCTAATGTGGAGCTGAAATACAGCAAGGGTGTTTTCATCCCATTTTTGTCAGCCCCCAGCTCACCAGTGGGCACGCTGCCCCTTTCCTTCATCTGCCTTCCAGCCTGCAGAGCTCCAAGAGCCGTGCTGGGGTTGTTCAGGACTGCTGCTGTACATGGGAGCAGTAGGGCTCTGCACAGCCCACTGTAATTTTTACAAATAAATATGGTGAGTACTCATCAGCAGCAACTCTTAAATTAAAATATTTTCCTTCCCTCTCAATTGTAAGCTACAACACATATCTCAGACTAGGCACAAGGAAAATTGTAGCACAGGACAGGAACTATCAGCTAAAAAGATTTTCTAAACAATACAAGTTGGCCTCAGAGTGCCCCTACTAATATTCTCCATCTTGCAGTATTTTCATTTTGACTAAGAATGTAAAATCATGCCACATATAAGAGACATTTTATTTCCTGTACTACTGCAGTTTTTTAGCATAATGGCCCATGTAGATCAGTGAGCAAATATTACATCCTAAAGTTTCAAATAATTGCCATCTTTATGTTTCATATCTGATCTTTAATAAATGTTATTTTACATAGTGCAATTAGACTTCAGGATGTAAAACTCAGAGTAATCCAGAACCTTTTCGCAGAGCTGGGTATTTTCAGGGTGCACTGACATCTAGATTCTGATCTAACTAATGGCACAAATCTGAAGCAATTTCCTAGAAATCAGTACAATTACATCAGCACAATCCCCATAAAACTAGGATGAGAGTCAGACCTTTATTTCTTTTCCAGCCTGCTCCAGAGATATAGTATTTTCCATTTAGTCAACTGAGGAGAACTGTAAAGGTATAGAAAGAAATGATAGAACTAAATTTTACTATTTAACATATGGGAAACTTGGTTATTATTTTACCATAAGCTTATGCAGGAAAAAGAGTATGCTGCAGTAAAATGGAAAAAATTCACCTCAGGTGTTGTATCATGAAATCCAAGGAAGTGACATCAAAGATTAAACCTGGCCCATTTACTTTTAATCTGTTTTGTTTAAGTATCAGATTTTATGTCTGGAGATTTTCTCTACTCTGTGAATTTTATTCCTTTTTGTAAGCATAAAACTAAATGAGGATCAAAAAGAATTTATTTTGTCGCCTCAATGCCAACGTAAGACCCTCATGCTGGCCCCTGAAATTCTGACAGTTTTGGGTGTCAGGTACAGAGCAGCTGCACAGTGGGGTCAGTGTGCACAGCAGGGTGGGGCAGGGGGGTTTAGCCAAGCAGGGGACAGTTGTTTTGCCCTGGCTCTCCACTGCCAGAGCAGCCTTTTTGTTCCAGGGACAATTGTCTGCACTACCTGGGCACACTGAGACAGGTGGAATTTGTGTGGGACACGGTGTCTCTTGGTCACTGCTCAGCCTGGGGAGGAGAATTGGGAGTGCCAGCGC